TGATAGCTATATTCAACACTATTTCTTTGTAAAGACAAAATTCCAACATTTAAACACCTTTAAATGCCCTCCAAAGATCTTAATTTTCTATTATTTTTCTTAAGTTTGGGAGGGGGCGTGGCCCTGAGCTGATGGGCTCCCATTTTGGACGGCCTGCTACGTTTTTCTGCCTAAACCCCTGAGAATAGAATAAATTTACGCATCTGAATGCTAAATCATAAATGTCATATTGAAAACAAATAGTACTGTAAATTTGACATAGTAATTCTTGTAAACAGCACAAAGTGATTGAGCAATTCATTGTTTTAACATTGCAGTTTAATGAGTATATAAATTATAGTGATAGTATTTTATTTAAAATGTTTTTGAAAATGTTTTCAATGCTAGGTGAATATCACTTTATTAATCATCCAATTAGTATTATTTTCTATAATTAAATATAAAGTTTCAAATGTAAAATATACATGTAATATTTAATCTAAATTATTGAAAATAAATTTTCTTTTTTAACAAGTTTTTTAAAAATATTTTAATAATGTTTTGTGTCAAAATTTATTATGTTTACAATAAATATGATCGCGACGTGCTTCTACCCCGCTGTATCGCGGTGTGTTTTCCGACGACTAGTAGCCTACGAGCGTAATAAAACGGTAATTTTCTTAAAATTGCAGAAGATATTTTTGTCGAACTTTTTATATTTGATTCAATACATATTACTTAACTATTGTAGGCCTAAATTTTTTATTATGAAAAGATCGGAACGGAATTCGTTTTCTAGACGTCTTTTGAGCTTCACCCCATGGCCTATAATCCATGAAATACCGTAAAGATTTGTTGTTAACATCACAAGTTAAATTTTAATATTCAACAAAATACAGCAGGTCTAGGCCTATCTCTCGATTTGGAGGACCTAGAGTAGAATTTACACTAGACTAAGGCGAGAGATGAAGATGCACCTGCTTGCCTAAAACATGTGAACCATAGCCGTGATGTGTGCAATTTATGTCTATAACTGAAATATCTTTGTGATACCTAATTCAACACTATTTCTTTGTAAAGACAAAATTCCAACATTTAAACACCTTTAAATGCCCTCCAAAGATCTTAATTTTCTATTATTTTTCTTAAGTTTAGGAGGGAGCGTGGCCCTGAGCTGATGGGCTCCCATTTTGGACGGCCTGTTACGTTTTTCTGCCTAAACCCCTGAGAATAGAATAAATTATTTTACGCATCTGAATGCTAAATGTTATATTGAAAACAAATAGTATTGTAAATTTGACATAGTAATTCTTGTAAACAGCACAAAATGATTGAGCAATTCATTGTTTTAACATTGCAATTTAATGAGTATATAGATTATAGGGATAGTATTTTATTTAAAATGTTTTTGAAAATGTATTCAATGCTAGGTGAATATCACTTTATTATCCAATTAGTATTATTTTCTATAATTAAATATAAAGTTTCAAATGCAAAATATACATGTAATATTTAATCTAAATTATTGAAAATTATTTTTTTTAAATATTTTAATAATGTTTTGTGTCAAAATTTATTATGTTTACAATAAAGCTTCAAGACACTCATAAATCTGATGAAAGCTAAAGTCTGCGTTTGTATTAAAGTGCTTTACAATTGGCACTTTTGCAATTTAGTTACAAAGTGTATGGGATGTTTCAACATACATTTTAGGAAGTGAACTTTGACAACAGCAGACATATATACATAGCATAACTGTATTTTATTTCTGTTTCTGTTGATAATTTGTGAGTTGGATAATGTTGAAATTTAGAAACACCCATTCAATTTATTTATTTATTTTATTTAATATTTCAATACCTAACAATCTCTTTGTTTGGTATTGCCGTTTTTTATCCTGCTGATTTTTTACTTCTGTGTTTTGTATTCGCCAAGGACCCCAACGGAAATATGGTTTCATTTTTACCTTTTTTGGGTCATCCTTTGTATCATGTCCTTGTCTTCCCTGTCATTGTTTGCTTGTATTTTGTGTATGTAATGGTGGTACTGAATAAAATCAATAAAAATAACAGGGGTGTACAGAATGAGACATAAAACCCAATTTTGTTTTGATTTTGTTTGTCAGAATTGTTTGGTCTTTACATTACTTCAATGTATAATGTGATTATGTTTTAAATATCTATTATTTAGTCTAATATCTTAGGAATCAGCTGTTCTCATCCTTTTGTCCTCTCTCGAACAGGCACACTAAGGTTCTGTTCCCGCTTCCGTTCCCGATTCCGTTAATTCTATCTCCTCTCCTTCTCTATTAAAGGAAGGGATTTGTATATAATATAACTAAAGACATGGATTGCAGAATTAGAAAGATATATTTTATTTATTTATTTTTTATACAAGCAAAAAATTATGGCATAATAAATTAATATATGCTGAATTAAACAAAATTTAAAAATATATATGATAAATTATCATTCATCCAATAATTGCTTTTTGATTTAGCTGAAAGACCATTATATTATGTTGGTCATTATAATTTTTGAATTATTGAGTTACTATTTCACTTGACAAGACAGAAATTGCATACAAGATTCAGTGGCATCATTTCATAGTGACTGCATTTACACGTGAAGTGCCAAAGTTTTGCTGTCGTTATTACACGTGGTAGATTTTAATGAGATTGCCAGGTGAAGTGAAGGATTATTACGTGTTAATAATGCTCGTAAATGACGTCTTGCATCGTCTAAAAATACTGATTTAGTGATATCTATTTCAACCATGGAGGTATAAAAATTTCAACCCCTTCCTAGAATATGAAAAACTCCAAGAATGCTATATCGCACATTTCCGTACAGTGTTAATAAATCTGTCTTTGGAAGTAGTTGCAAATTCTCTTTCAAATGCTGGCATAATTCTCCTTTTTAGTATTACTAATAACAATATTTCCTGGCACATTTCTTTTAAGTGCTGGAAAATTGTCTTCTAAGTACTGGGAAACATGCTTGTAAATACTGAAAAATTGGGGATTATGTCATTCAATTTTTTTTAATAATAGTTCGGGCATACAAAACATTACGTTAAAAAGCAAACATTGAAAAAAAAACAGTGAAAAAGAAAAGACGAATAGCCATAGCCCAGGAGAGACCACCAAATAATGCTTAATTGCTATTAAAGACCTTCCCAAAATATTGAATCTAATAATTGTTTATTATTGCTGGTGATATCTGATATAAGAAACTGTTACAAATGACATTTAAATCCAGGTTACATAGCAATTAATTCTGTATTTCTTCACATAACATGATTAACCTTTGCTTCCATATACAACAATCTAGTTAGTTTCATGTAAATGGTATTATTATAAACAAAATTGATACTTAATTAGATGTATATCAATTTATAATTGCTTGGTTGGTTTCCAAAAGAGCAAACCATTGTCATCATAATGACTATAAATTAATCTGAATTATGTGATAATTATTATTGTATTATAGTAGAA